CGTGATATCGCGATCGTTCCGCATATATATTTTCGCCGCGGGTGGGGAAAAATAATAGCCGTAAACCCGCTGGGAGATGGAAGCTGGAAGATGAGGCGAACAGGTCAACGCGGAAATGTAATTAGCAATAAATCCTCGTGAACTGCGAGCGCGCGTTTCGTTTTCCTTACACGCGAAATGTATGACGACGCGCAAGCGTGGCTTCGGAACGTGAAACGCACTGACGAAGACGAATGTTGTTCGCTAAGAAGGTGGGAGACAGAGAGGAAAAGGCAAAGGGGAAAAAGAGCACGCAAGATGAAAAATCGCGACGCGTCCGTGTGCGTTGAACTTTCTCGCGATTATCTCGAGACGCGACATCTTTGTACTCTTACGAGAGAAGAGAGATCGAGATGACGATTTTATTTAAAATTTCACTGAGAAGATATGATGAACAATGAGGATGTTATGCCAGTAGTAATATCTGTTGTCAGTGATCTTTTTCTATTGATTATTTGTTTGCGAAATTTTAGAAGTCTCTTCTCCAGATAAAAAGCTTGATGACAATCGATAACTGAAATTTTAGTTCAGTTTGGATTAGTTATAAATTTATTAGGTTACTTTTGAAGAATACAGCATCGAGTACATCGGTAGCATTGCGTCTGACCAATCGCGTGTATTTCTACTGAAGATTTTCCTGCAATTCCAACCACGTTTCTCCCAGTTTCATTGAAAGATTCAATAATATTTCACACGTTAATAACTAAAGTAACTTTTTAACCTTTTACCTTAGCGAGGTTCTGATTTAAACGGAGAAGAATAACGAAAGTGAAGTAAAGCTTGTCTAATCGGGCGGGAAATGTAAGAGAGGGTTTATATCAACTGTGCTATATTGCTTAAAGCCGATTTCTTAACGGAGAATATATGTTTGCACTGGATAAAATAATATCTAACACGTACAGCTGAATAAAGGGCGCCGACTCTGCCGGAATATATTCGTCTAGTAATGGTGGAAGATTTATCAAGCTTGGCTCAGCATCGCTGAAAATTCGCTGTGATGTATTCTCATACCTCGCAGATTCGTTCGGTGACTGAACTCGAATGTTATTGCGTCTATCGTCGTTCGCGTTGGTTTTCTGAACCTGCAAATCCCTTCGATCGCTCTCTCTCTCTCTCTGGCAAAAGAAATAATTCAATGCAGCACTCACGCGTCATTTAAGAACATTTTTTTGTCGTTAATACGTCCTCCGTTAAATCGAATCAGGAGGATGGAACGTTCATGAGGAAATGGAGCGTGATCCACGCTGGCTCTCTCAACATTTATATTTATTAAATTCCTGTATTTTTCTCTCTCGCAATTGAACCATCGTATTTCAAAGAAATTTCCAACTTTCCATCTCTCTCACTCCCACCGTGTTCCTTACTGATCATGCATTTGAATTCCACTTGAAATCCCATTTATGAAGTTCGAAATATAATTCCAAATCTCCTCTTTCCCTTCCGACGAATATCACTCAATGTGGAAAATAAACTCTCAGTCTTCCGGCAACTTTCCCGCTGGTCAGACGTCCAATTAGAGGTAGCAATTTTCTTCAAAGTTTCGTTTACAAAGTTCCGAACGTTCGCCGCCGCCAATAATTATCGCTCGATCTTCGAAAGTTGGCACTCAATCTTCTTCAAAATTCCTTATCGATCACCGCAGTTTCGTTCAACGAGACCTCTAACTTTCATACTGCTGGTAATTGCCATTCTCTCGATTTCTCTTGATCGAAGATCTCCGAAGACTTTCCAGACAGTCTCGTTTGGAAATGGCGATGTATCGATGACGAGGGTCGGGACGGCTAAAACGAAACCAGAAATACAAACGAAGAACAAAAAGCTTTCGAAACGATAATTAACGCTCGTCGTGGAGATGAAACGGATGCTACACGCGCAGTCCAACAGAAAGAGTGAGAGGGGAGGGAGGAGAATGAGTAATAACGTTACATCGTTATGTATACGTGTCCATTCGACAGCGGGCTATTGGCGTAGAACAGTCGCCAGGATAAATTCATTCGTTATTTCCGGCTCGGTTGTACCGGGCTCGCAGTCAAAAGCTGCGGCCAGAATTAGCTGACCGGAAACTGCTCCTCTGTAACGCGAGCCGAAAAATTTCAGCCCTTGTGTCGCTGCAACCGTTCGTTTAATCGTGGAATGAGCGCGCCGGTAATAATTACTCTCATCCTCCTCCCCCCGTATTTGACTCTTTTTTTTTTCCTTTTCGCGAAACAACCGAGGATGCACATTTGATTAATGGAAATTCAGAAAATCAGTCGTGATTCGCCGATGCGTGGAAATTCCTCGGAACGCCGGTGTGAATCGTTGATTAATCGCGTCTTACTGACGTCACGCTCTGAAACGAGGACAAACGAGGGGGGAATCTGACGATGCAAAAATTAGATCGTCAATGTTTATTAGCGACGTCGTATTAATTCCTGGTTTAATCGATCGATCGGCAACTCGAGCCTGTCAACGAACCGAAGGTAATGGAACGCCGGGGATGTTTATTAACTGTCGACCGGTGTCGTCCGGTACACAGCTTTTTGGGAAATTATAAAAATTCACGGTTTAGGGTCTTCCGTTGAATTGAATTTTATTATTGCGGACAATGAAACGAAATATAGCCAAGTTTTATTAATCTGTAAATCATAATGACTTGTCTATAATCCAACGATGTTATTTGCGCGTTAACGCCGACAGAAAGTAGTTTATTCGTTTGATCGATGATATTTGCGGAAATTCAAATTAACGTTTTTAATATTAATAACCGCCGTCTAGATTGTGACGATAATTTTATGAAATTTTCACAAAATTAAAGCGTAATGAATTTATTGCCCGGTCCTAGGTGGAGTTAATAACAATACGTAAATAAACCAGCGTTAAATTCTCTAATTTCGTTGCGGCGTACAATAATACGGGGATAGTGAAATAGGAGCGTGACTGGTCAGACAGAGGACACAGCTGCGTTATTTATCTAGACAGTTTGTATGTGTATATATAATTCGTCGTGCCGGTGAAACAGCACGGTACGCGATCAGACAACCGGAATACCATTTGAATAACATAATTAACACCGCGATTAAAAAGTACCACGCTAAAAAAAACTAATATATAAAAAATACATCCACAACTCTCGATGTTGCGCGCGGTATTCGTTCCGCAATGGACGAGCGTCGGCAAATATTTCAGCCGCTTTTTATTAAACCCGGAGCGATGTTTGAATCGGATATTCACACATCCATCGAATATTCATAGAGGGCTATCAATCGCGCGACGCGATAAAATACGCCTTTCTCGTTCGGGGAAATTATCGAAACCTCGGGCAAATGATCGGCGCTCCACAATGAAAACCGAGTGTCTCTTGTAAGCGTGAACAATGAACGAAATATCGGCCGATATAGCCGATATAACCGGCGATGGCCGGATGGCCTTCGAATCCGATTGATTCCTCGGACGAATATTCCGTGGCAGCGCGTACGAGTGGGACAAAAGACCTTTCGCATGGAAATGAATCGCGATCGAGGCCGAAGTGGCTCTCGTTCATCGACAGCGCGGGGCCGCACAGCCTGGGTAATAATTCTGAAAAATTGTTCCGTTGCGCCTGAGCTCGGTCTGAGATTTTCAGCGCATAAATCGTCCTCGTTCCTGGATCCCGCTTGATATATTGGTGTTTGCAAGTGTTCCTTGAGAGGCATTAGGATCATATATTCTTCGAGTATTGATACAGAATGGCTTTTCCGTTCTTGCTTGCCTGACGTACTCTTTACGATATATTACACTTCCTCTTCTTGTTTTCTCGGCAGTCTGTCACGTCACGTTGACCATCAATCGAATTTTCTTAAGCCTCCAAGTCGCGTTTGCAAAAGCTGAGTCAGCACTGGAAGATCGTTTTTCTCGATCGTCTGTAATTCAAGGTACACATTCGTGCCTTCGTTTCTTTGACTTTACATTTCCGTCGATCCTCTGAGTTTCATGATTTTCTTTCCTCGAGTTTCATCGTCAGGTTCGTAGATGAATTTTCCCCTTCTTCTTCTTTTTTTTTTTTTTTTTTTTCTTATGGTATTTCAAGCTCGATCGATCCTGCGGCCAACGAAATTGCATCAAAGCTCATAGTCCATACCTAATTATGTTTCCATCGATAAACGTTTCCCTCCACCGAGGCGATTGCCGCAAGAAAGTTCGTTAAATTCTTTAAAAAAGATCGCATTATCGTGGGAGTTAGGACCTCGCATAACTAACCGCCTCGCCAAACGAAATTGGCTTTATCTTCGTTACGCAACGCGCAAAACTTTATTAACAAAACCGCCAAGTTGCCATCGTCTTAAATCAATCGAACGTTCGTGGCAACATTTTTCAACTTTCGTTGATCAGAAGAGTTTACGTGATTTTTAGACTGCAGGAGAGATAATTTAATTCTAAACTAGGAACAAGTTACGCCCTAACGACAAGTCCAAATTGACAAGATAAAGTTCTTTGGAATAATTTGTAATTTATAACTAAGAAAGCTAAGAGTCTGTAGAAGAAAAACTCTAAATACAAAAATTTACTTTAATTTACCTTAGTCCGTAGAAAAACTTGTCAAAATTATTCAATGTTAATATCTCGTCTTAATCGCATCTTACAAACGGTCCACTCGGTTCTCAGCACTTTATCATCGATCGTACAAATCGGTATCGTGTCGCGATCGTCGTTCGATACGTCGATAAAACGTTTGAACGGTGGGGAGAGGGAAGCGTGAAACAGTAGGTGACAGGAGATTTTACGATTGCGCCATTCAATTTCCTCCAGTCGTATCTCGAATCGAATGGAAACGAGAGAGGGATCGTACGCGTTTGATAAGAAGCTTTCAGGTAGCTCGGTCGTAATTGGAACATTGGAGCGCAGCGCTGCTGGCTAACTATGCATGGCGTTAGTATTCTGCTAGCCGTGGCCGTGCAATGGTTGGATCCAATTTAATGTTCTGCTCGCTCCTTGGATTTCAGATCTGGACACGATGTTATATGGATACACGAACAACATATACGTGCTGGACCACACTCCTGAATCGCTGCCGGTGAGTACAATTCTGAACAAGCCAGTTAGTCGTAGCTGTTACTGTCCAATCCCTGCATCCTTGTGTCCGCTCGTTTAAGTCGATTGCTCGGCATCATAATTACATGCCGCGTTTCACGGCTTGTGAAATTAGTATGCTTGTTAAACTTATGCGGCGGCCGCCCGCTATGAAATGAAATTAGGGGATAGAAGGGGGAAATAGTTCAGTTTGCGGATTCATTGAAAGTCTTGGGATGATAGATGTTTAGTACTTTAGTACTTAATTTGTACTAAATAACGCAATTAACGATATGTTTAATTTTCTCAGTTTCGTAGCAAATGCTAAACTACCAGGCCTTGGCATTAAATACGAATTTTTTTTTTTTCTTTTTGGTCGAATCTTAACTTTTGTATGATTTAATAGCTCGATAGCAATCATATTCTGTATTTAATAGATACTAAATTATCTATTTCTCGAATTTAAATAATCTTGATCTAATTAAATTAAACAAATTCGTACCGGAAATAATTCCAAGTTCCTTGAAAAATCGCGACATGGGAAATTGTAGGAATTGTTACCCGAGTTTAATGATACAAAATACAATGGCGCACAACACAGCAGTGGGAACAATATGCATAGCTATCTCCGGATCGCGTTCGGCCGTCGCGAGCAGAAAATAATCGAACGTCGGCCGATTCGCTGGCGAGTTAATTAAATTCGACGATAGCGGATCGTTCGACTTTGTTTCCAATTAAAACTCGCAGCCGTGTATTTTGATTAACAGGCGAATTTAATAATAATCACGTGCGCGCGAAGGGGCAGCCGGAATTCGGGACAGTTTCGCGGAACGCGTGAATTTCGTGGATAAATTGAATTCGATACGTGTGGTAATAACAACAAGCTGCGAACTAAAACGAGAGAATGAGCACGTTTCAATTTGATTTTTAAACAAATTGCTATCCTCTTGGACGACGTTTGTCGAATATGTTCACGTCGACTTGGTTCATTACTTGGAAAATTGTAAATTTCGAAATTTTCTCGAGGAACAAAAAATTTCATTTTATTCGTTTGTAATCATTTCCATCCAGAATCTCGTTTTAGCGTTAAAATGTATTCAAGTTCAATGATAACTAACAGCGACCGCAAAACATAAAATGAAATTTAATTGGTGATATTAACCATTTGCAATTTCGTACTCTGTATGAATAACATTTTATACAGATACATATACCAATCCAATATTCCGTCTCTAATTGGAAAATTGCGGGACAGTCTACCCATACCTGTGTATATGGAAGAATAGATTTTTCGTTTTTAACATTTCTATCACAAATTTTATTTCCATCAATATTAAAATTACCCAAAGTGTGGTCAAAATGACAACTTTATAATCTTTGTTAGATATAAAACAGTGTGTTTTTAAAGATTTAAATAATGTATAAATAAAAGCACCGTATCGTATTATAAAGTTTCTCTATTTTCCCACTTTAATGTTTCTGTTGGAAATTTTATGCTTTCGTCGTTGGTAGTTCCAGTGTAAAATACACTTGTATTATATAGTAAAATATCTCTAGTAATAATAATAGTATAAACAAATAATAAACTAAATGAAATAGTAATAATATTAGTAATAAAATTGACAATTGAATCAAATTTAATTGAGAATATCAGCCATTGAAAGATCCATCACTGCACAACAGAGAACTTTAGAAAACACGAAAATAGTTAAAAAATGGTGTAAAAATGCCGGTGTAAAAATGGACATGTCAGTCTGTCGCGCAGCTCGGCTCACGTAACGCAATCTATTTTATCATTCGGATTAATCATTGGTTAAACGGCGTGCAGTGTGTGCATATCATTGCTCGTCGAACGAAACAGCCCACTCAATTATCCGTAACGCAATCCGGCTGCGAAAAATATGGAAATCGCTGGAGCGAAACGCGTTTATGAATTAAGTTAATTAGTCGTCGGAACAAATGAAGCCTGCTCGTTAGCAACAGTCGATTTCGGTTTTCCGACGCGACGGTAGGGTAACAAGTTGAATTAACGACGTGGATCGAGTGTTGCAGGAGAACAGTTTTGTTCGTGTTGGTTGAAATTGAAATTGAAATTGAAATTGCGGGCTGACTATTTTGGGAATTTAAAAATTCTAAAACCATGTAAAGTACACAAAGTATACAAATCACTTATTGGAATATTTAGTAGATGAAATAAATTTCTAATTTAGAACTGGTTTCTTCATTTTGGTAAAATTTTCTTCGGTTTGTAAAAATTGAGTTATATTAGTGATTCTTAGAAATGAACGATAAACCAAGAACAGTTAACGAGGACAGTGATGAGAGCAAGGCCAACCTTTCTCATCCCTTTTGTCTCGCCTTCTGCGACGAGAGCTCCGACAGAAAGAGACAATGCCACGATTACAGACCAACCCCCTTCGAGCTAATTTTGACCGCACGTGGCTTTTAATAAAGATCTTTCGTCAATTTTCTACCCTTAATTGCTCCCTTCGTATCACCAATGATTCCCTTTGTTGGTTCATCTAAGTTCCCAAATTTTCCTCCAGCAAACACCGCCGTCAGAAATATTAATTCACTAATTTATTAAACGTCAGGTTATATGACACATCAAGGAATTCATAGTTAAAACTAGCATCAAAACACGAGTTTTGAATTTTAGAAAAACGAGAAAATAGCCACGAAATTATATGTAACCACGAGAAATGTGTAGAAATTATAAAAAAATAATATATTAAATTAGAAAGTGAGACAATTCCAAGGGAAAAAGAGAAAATTGAATGATCCATAATCAGACTCCGTAGTATTTAAGCATTTCAATTCTTTCAATTTCAATTCGGAAATTTCAATTTCAACCCTCGTCTGCACATTTTAATGGAGCTCCAAAATTTTTTCAAAACACCTTTTCACGTCTGTATGTAATATTTTCATTCGCGAATGACCATCGTGATGTAAAGACACACGCGCAACTATGTCACGAGGACGTGGAAGAGCTGATATGCTCGTCGTCTGTTTGCGTGTGTTTTGGTTATCCGTGTACACGGACACACGTACACGATGTTTCGTGTACCGTGTACACAAGACTGAATGTAATTTGCAGGAATCTCGCGGGGTTGGGTCCTCGAGCCCAGTGTGATGACATAGACATTGAATTTCCGGCATCTCGCCGTCGCGTATTGAATCGATCAATCAGTCACATTCACGTTAATTAGCTCGTAACATAAAGTGTTTATCGTGTCGTTTAATCCACGGGGGTGTGTTTATGTTACGCGCGCTAACCCTTTGCTCCCGGACCAGGCGTATAAATTTATTTCGAGATAATTAACGCTGGCTGGTTTGACGTTTCGAAAAATATTTTAGCTGCAGTTTCCGCGACCCGCGGAAAATTAACACAGCAAGTTTGCAGAAGGTTATTTGTCCACCAGACTTCGTGCATGATATTTGAAGGAGATTATTGGCCGCGCTCATCGATTTACTTGTACGTTCGTGTAAATTAAACTTAAACAAAACTCTGATACATGCAAGCGTCGCGAAGTACGTCGCGAAAATTCATTTCTAATGAATTGGGGCAGGAAAGCAATTCATTGACGACATTATGGCGAGCGGTGACGTTAATGGTAACGTCATGCGATTTTCAGCATTTACCGACCGCTGACCTCGTTACACCGTGGCTTCGTGTGATTTTGCATTTCGTAAATTTTTAATGGAACTCGCCGGTCTCTGATGAAGGCTACTCGCTTTTGTGAAACAGTGAAAGTTACGACTATTGTAATAAAAAGCAAATGCGTTAACAAAAATGACCCTTAACCCTTAGAAATTACCATTGTCGAGATAATAAGTCTCTTTTATCTTTTTGAAGATAATGATCGTTCAATCCAAAGAATTATTACTGTCGGGATACAAGATCCTCCTTAAGTAAACATTATTTTAAATTAATACTTCTCGATTCATTTATTATTAAAAACGGATGCATAAATAATCCTCCGCTCGACGATAAATTTATCCGCGAAGAAATATTTTCTTATCCGATTAGAAACTTACGAGAGAAGAATCGCGTCACCACGATGACGAGGATCGTTGGAAATATTTACAGAAAACTGTGTTCTCGCAAAGACGGAACCCTATTGATAGTGTGCGCCGGTGTACGAAGAAACTTTCGGCATCGGAACACTGCAGCTCGGGAACTTGGCGGAAGTAAGTTCATTCTGGAAATACGCGCCTTGATAAACATCTTAGTGCAGTTAGGGTGACGTTACAGAAACGACGTCAACGACGGACTTGGCGATCGCGGCTTTAACAAACGAATCTGACTGAATCCTATTATTTTTCCCCTAAGAGGAAAAGAAACGCGAAAGTGATATGGCATCTCGTTTTCTACGTTTCAACTCTCGGACAGCGGGATGTTGTTTTGTACGTTCGCGCTGCACTTTCCAGGCAACGCGAAAGCAAATTTTTATATCATATATAAAATTCTTCTACCGAATATTTCAACTTTTCAGCTCACTTCGGCATTTCGCGATAAATCAAAGGGGGAAATCGAAGGGAAAACACAATTACAGACGTTATCGTATTTTTATTAACGCACATTTATTTTATAATCGCGCGATCGTGTTTCAATCGTAAAGTGATACATTTGATAATACATTTTTTGTAACTTTCATCGAACATTTTACATTTTTAATTCATTCTAGTTTAGTAATATGGTTCTTTAGGGAAAACTCTGTGTGATATGTGCGTGTGTATTTTCTTAATATATTCACCTACTCTTGAAAATCCTTCACTATAATACCATCCGAATTCCACAGTAACAATTGACGAGAGAAACATATTTACAGGTATCAATGTATTTTTACCAACAGTTGTTCTTCTACGCTGTCCCACTTCTACGCCACCCACAATGAAAATTTCGACCCACCATTAGGTTTAAAAGTCACGTACCTCGTCTCCCTCCGTCTCGATCTGATCGCGAAACGAAACGTTATGGCTTTCCAACGAAGAGGTATATCT